GATTTTTATCGCGTACCAAGTAATGAAAATGAAATACATTGATTGTCAGAGAATATGAAACTATATGATAGGTAGTATAAAAAAGCAATTCACAAAACACTAGTATAGTATAAACACTAGACACTCCGGCTTTGAAGCAATAACTACTGAAATTATGAAGTCTGGTAAATAGCTCATTTTTAAAATAGGTAAACTTATTTATGAAGCTAAGCTTTAGTGAGTGCTGCTGCTCATCAATTTTGTAGATTTTAAACCTCTAAAATCCTAAAGAAATTACATACTTTAACATAACCTGAACACCCTGAAAAATTTCGCAAAACCACTTTAAAAATTATTAATTTAACTAGTGATCGTTATTTTTTTAAAGAACCATTCACTATTGACACATGTCGTACAAATGAACTAAAAATGAAGACATATAAACTCAGAATTAAATTTAATTTAACAAAATAACAGAAACAGACCGAGTACAATATTTTCGTAATTAAAACAAAAAACAATAAAGGAGGCTGTTGTTGTAAATAATGGTTTTCATCATTTGATTAAGTATAAGTTTGGCAGTTAATAAACGTTTTCACAAGAAAACAATGCCGTTAACTCTCTCAAATTGTCGCTCTGTTTCTGTTATTTTGTTAAACTAAATTTAATTCTGCGTTTATTTGTCTTCTTTTTTTTTGCTAATGTATACATTATGTGTCAATAGTGAATGGTTCTTTAATAAAATAACGATCATTAGTTAAATTAATAATTTTTTAAAGTTTTGTTTTGCGAAATTTTTCAGGGGGCCGGTTTTTTTTTGCCGGGCAGTGTATTTTATTTTGTAAACCTTCATAAATCCACTTACCTACCTTAGCAATGAAATATTTACCAAACTTCATTATTTCGATAGTATTGTTTTAAAGCTAGATTGACCAATATTCGTATGACATACTATATATTATAGTTAGAAACATAATAATAAATGAAGTCGATATCAACTCAAAACAATAAACAACTGCTCCGTCCTCTTTTAAAATGAACATGCAAATAACATCATAATAATCGTGTTAACATTAGTATGTTTAGTATGTAGTTACAATTACAATAAATGCATGTGTTTAATCATACCCATTAGGCAAGCGAATTGACTATTTATTCTGCTAATTTTCAAGTTCAGTGGTTTTATGTTAATTACTACCACTCACTGGTTAATTAATTATTTGTTAATACTTACCAACTTACCTTGCTGTAATGACTGGACATTGCGGGCGTTTGTAAAATGTTTAATTGGGTGTCGTTCAAAGAAAATGTTTATTTCTAAATTTTCAGTAAAATGTTTCAACAGCTAGTCATTTTTCGTTTATATATATACATATATAACTTATATTATATACCTTGTTTACTATAGTTCATTACGCAACTTTGTTACCGTCTCTAACTTGATGAAACAACGAAACAATTTTATACTTTGTTCGAGAAAAATCTATATTGTCGATAAAATCATACTCCTATCAAACAAAAACCTGCCAACATAGAATTTAATATGCATACTTCAGATATTTAGGCATGAGCATAAGATTACAAAAAAGAAGTAGTTTTTAGTCTTTTGTCATCTCTATTACAACGCAAAGAATATTTCATTTTAACCCGACAATAGCAATAACAGATACATTTTCACCGTCACGTTGAAACGAGATTCAGATATGTCATTCTTTCAACATATCAACAAACAATAACATTTCCCTCCATTGACTACTTCCGATATTGAAATTTTCCAAGCTACACCACTTTATTGCTTATACCGTGCATAAACTGATATTTACAGTAAAACAAGTATTCATCGCATGCTAAAGGATCCCTATAATTTTATTGATAAGAGTCAATAACTAAAATTCTTGGCCCGCCACAAGTATGACACTTATCGATCGGAATTTCAATCAAGAAACTATTCCCCAGCTATAAAAGCGCCTTTTGCTTGAATTTACAATGGAGGCCAATAGAATGCTTACCTGCACAAAGCCCCTTATCAGTTATTGCTCTAGATTATTCTCATTTTAAAGCAACATAAATATGCAGATACAACTATCTTATTAAATCCAAAACTAAAGTTGTGTAGATAAAAGCAATAACTTTTCTTTGCTCTCCAATGGCAGCATTTCGTTTTCACAGGCGAGCTCTGAATGTTAGAACTGTGTGCAGAAGGAAAGTCGGAAAACTCAGCTCTAATCTTTCTAATATTGTTTAAACTTTTACCAAGATAAGCCTAACTTAATGTGCAGTAATAACAACAAAAAGCATTTTGGGAAGACACTGCTCACAAAACTTCTAGGAGCATGTTATTGGCTTATTGTCGAAATACAGTGGTTCGTTAGGTATTGTTAACACCCCAACAGTAAAATGATATAATACGAAAATATGTGCATCCCTCTTCGCCGAGGTGGCTTCAGATATAAATCGCTAATCAGAAGTTGTTGTTATCGTTCATATACCACAAAACATAAACGACTACCGCAAAAAATGATTACATAGTCTTTCAGTGAATGACTGCAGGAAATTTTGAGAACACAATAAATAAATTAGTGTACTTATACATAAAAGTCAATACATCCCCACAAAAAGTTCTTAACTTTACACTACAAAAATTGTTGGTCAAATATTTTTTATAACTGTGCCTTCACATTCATCTTGTATTCGATATGCTTTAGAAGCGAACAAGGTTCTGTGTAAATAATTTTACACCACGGTGTAGTTTACAGATTTCCTTAATGACATTCCGTCACGTTCACGTTGTTTACATTTCCACGGAAACATTTTTCTCTCGTGCCATAAAATCTTCATTTTCCATATAATATTCAATTTTAGGACAAATTTACCGAAGGATGGTGTTTAACATAAAGCGAAGTGACATAAATTCGCTGTTCCGTGGATATCGTTATTAAATAAAAGAGAGGTTCCGTTGTTGCTTGGATGAGCAATAAATCGATTCTGTCGGCGTGAACAGGTGTTGGAAATGCGGCAGGAGTTTGCAACTGCATGGAGTCTACAAACTTACCTAACGATTATTATTATTACTCTTTCGTGATGCTGAGATTTTAAACAAACATGATTCCAACACAACAGTTTAATGGGCTTGAGGTACAAGTATTAAACCGATTAGCGATAAGTAATGTAAACATAAAAGGTCTGCAAACGCGTTTACTTGCCTGCTACCGCACCAAGAGTTGAATTATTCCAGCGTTACTAAACAGATAACCAGAAAAACATAAATCACTTAAACTACCTCATTTCCGCTGAAATTAGGTCTGATTATTTAACGACAGTGAACACAATCGAAAAGGCATTTGTGCACACAGTCTACTAGTAAAAGCGTAATTATCTTAGATTGTACCTGCAGATAATATTTTGTGGTTTTGCTTTTTTCCCTTTTTTGTTTAGTTAGTTTATGTTCCACTAATCAGATTTCGTGCTACATACAAAAAGAAGTCTATAAATTCATTTACATACACAGAACTTCGCTTGTCGTTACGGGATCACGGTTTCTGCGTGTAACTAACGTTGCATTTAAGAGCATTCGTTTGAAAGAACAGTTACAAAACAACTTTTGGAAAACAAGTCGTCAAGCTGAGTGGCGACTCGTGGGTGTAGTTAAGGGAGGACACACACTTAAAATGGAACATAAAATTTATATTTAGTCATAACGGTACTCACATGAATTGTCTAACTGTTCCCGGATGTTTACTCCCACCAAAACTAAATTCATGCGCATTTTTGTACTTTGTACATAGAATGTCTTTATAATTAGTATGTCAATAAGCTTTAAATTAGAAATTCTTCGGACAATCCACAGTCGCTTTTTAAGCTGGTTTTAAATAGTACACATCGAAAACAATCAAACATGCCTCGTTTTGATTTAGGAAACCCTAACTTTTTAATCCCAAAGCGCTGTTCAAAATTTAGCTTTATATTAAATGTATACATATTTTACAATATTTATCGCTATGGCGTGGAAAATAGGATATAAATGGATAATAGGTACACCACCTTTCATTTGCAAACCGACAACGGCAATACGGTGCACAAAAACAATGCACCCGTTCTGCAGCTGAAATTAGCAACTGTAAATTCAAACTTTGTTTACAGTAAAGTGAGAAACTTTTGCTGGCCAACTGACGGACGACCACTAGTTCAGTTCAATTTTTACTTTATTTAAATGCAGATGTTACGATTTTATATTTTATGTTTATTCTTATTGTTTGCCAACAAATATAAATAAGTATGTACGTAAATATTTCTACAAAAATTTTTGGGGAGACACGTACGCCTATGCTCATGGTAACGATTGTGCTCGGGATAATAACAATAATAACTTATAGTTTACTGGTTTTTATTGTGCAATTGTATTTACATATTAAAAGTTTTACATATAGACTATAACGTGTCATTCATATAGGTATATTGTTTGTGCCAAGCACATTACATAAGCTCAAAGCAAATATCACCATGCTTAATACCAACGTATTTTTTTATCTTAATTATGCTAAAAAACGGTCGTATACCACAAGGCTCACAAAGTTGTAGAAACACTACTGTAGCTGTATATAACCGCGTCGTATGAATTAAGCAAATATTTTGCCGCAATATTTCGTCAGCGTCCGTGTTCATACCATAGAAAACTATACAAATGGTACATAGTGAGGGTATTCTATGATTCATACTAATGTCAAGATGTGGATGGTATTCAAACTTAGGTTCTAAATTCTAATTCACACACATCTGTCATGAACAACTCCTGTCCTACAATGAAAGCGATAGAATTAACGGAAAACCTGGACGAAGATGTACAATAGTACCTAACGTATTTTAAATCAGCTCTACAAACTCTACACAAGACGGGGTATTGGATTCTGGATTCTGGATTCTAAATTTTTTTCGGTGCTGACCGAAGCCAGCCGGCACTTAGGCCTCGCCTTTGGGCCAATTGTACTTTCCTCAAGTCCATATCAGGGTGTTTTCCCGCTCCTCTACTCGTCAAGCCACCCAACTGCTTGAATGTATCTGAGTAATGCAGAGGGCGGGAACTCCCTGATTTTTGTCACACTAGGCCAGATGTCCTCTAGTATAGATTTCCTGTAGGAGGCTAGCGCTGGACATTCACGAAGAATGTGCTCAGCTGTTTCCTCTTCTTCATTGCATCCACGACAGATTGGGTCTGTTACTACTCCTATCGTATGTAATGTTTATTAAACTGGTAATGTCCCGTGAGGAATTCTACCAGTTTGCGCAATTTGTCCCTTGAAAGTGAGAGATAAAATTGCGTCAACTTACGGTCAGGTGTCGCTATACAAGCTCTACTCAGCCAACAGCTGCTCAGCGTCGTCCATATTTGTTCATGGCGTCTATGGGTGTATTGCTTTACGAGTTCATTCGAGAAGGGCATGCGCGCGGCTGGCTTCGCCATCTCATCTGCCCTCTCGTTTCCTTCGTTACCACTGTGTCCTTTGATCCAATAAAGTTCTACGCTGTTTCTCTGCGTTACATACCTTAGCTTTTGTCTGCACTCCCAAATTAGCCTGGATCGAACCATGCAGCTGTTCAGGGCTAGTAGTGCAGACTTGCTGTCAGTAAGTATGCGTATTGATTTGTTGCCGATTTCACGTTCAGCAATGATTCTAGCTCCCAGCATTATTCCCATCAGTTCTGTTTGTAAGACAGACGTGTGGGTGCCGAGAGTTACACTAACTGATTTGTGCGTTCAGTTGTTCGGAGTAGATGCCGGGTCCTGAATCACTATCTGTTTTGGCACATAGATGTCGATGTTGGCTCTTCCTTCTGAATTATAATTCACTAATATTCTATATGTCTTCTCATATATTAATTTTGTGCCCATTCGGTGACAACCCATCCTTAACAAGGGTATTGAACGCCTCCGTCAAGATACAAGTGTGTTTCGTTATGCGGCCTTGCTTGTTCCATACTCCCAGAGAGTGGAGTCTTAGAAACGTCTTCATTGCCGCTTCCTCTATGCAAAGAAGTGTCTCTAGAGCCACTGTGGGAGTAGTTCTCACTCCTCCTGTAACACTGAGACACGCCATTCTCTGAACGTGTTCAAGTTGCAGGGCTGTTGTTTTTTGTCTGGCTCTGGGCCACCAAACTAAAGCTCCTTAGCACAGCATCGGTCTGACTATCGCCGTGTAGATCCAGAGGGCGATCTTGGATTTTACACCCGAAGATCTTCCCACTACCTTACAACATTACCAAAGAGCCAAGCATGCTTTTTCCACTTTATCATCTACATGCTTCTTCCTTCAATACAACTCCCAGATATTTGACTTCGTCCGAAAGTTGAAACGTTGTGTTAAATATTTTTGGCATCTGTAGTGTGCCAATTTTCCTCTTCCTAGTGAACAAGATTAATTTAGTCTTCTCTCCATTAACGGAGAGGGTATGCCTGCTGCACCATTCCTCGACTATTGTTACTGCAGCTTGCATTATTTCACATAATGTTTCTGCGTTTTTTCCTCTTAGCAAAATGACTAGATCATCTGCGTATCCAATTGTATGGTAGCCAAGATCATTGAGGCGTCGTATCAAGCTGTCAACGACAGTATCCCACAGCACAGGAGAGAATACTCCTCCCTGGGGATATCCCCTGTCTACAGCCTCGATCTCAGTGCCACCTACATTGATCAATACTTCCCTATTCTTCAGCATACCGGTCACCCACCTAGTCAGGGTGAGGTTCACGTCGTGCTCTTGTAGGGCTAGTCCTATGCTTTTGAACGTCGTTTTATCGAACGCTCCTTCAATATCCAAGAACATTACTAAAGTGGAGAGTTTATTCTCCATGGATCTTTCTTGGATGTAGGCATGTTGGTTCGGATGTAGAGGTTGCTTGCTCAAAGCGGTCTCCCGAATCTCTTTTTCGTTTAGTCTTTCTAGCGTTTTCAGCAAGAATGATGTTAAGCTAATTGGTCTATAGGATTTAGGCAAGGTGTAATCTTGTCGTCCTGGCTTAGGTATGAAGATAACCTTTGCTTTCCGCCATGCATTCGATATGTAGCTGAAAGCCGGACACGCCCGAAGCATTGGCAACAAGATAGGGCGTAGTCTGCCTCATTCCCCTCTGCATGAGGGCGGGATAAATACCGACCACTTCCGGAGATTTATATGGGGAAAAGCTGTCAACCGCCCACTCCAGTCAGTGATGGGGTATTATACAAATTGTACCAAAAACGTGACTGAAAGAAGAAAAACTCAACAAATTTAATGACTTCCTTTATGGAGGTCCTAAACTTCAGAAGAACACAGCGTCCCCTCGCCTCTTATATGTGTAACGTTAACTTAGAACCATCATGAATGCAAGCTTCCCAAGTTCGAAGGATTAGATCTTTAAGGAAACTATTTATCCGACGACAGTAGTGAGAATCCGCGGCACTCCACACCTGGTCTAGGGTCCATTAAATGAGCCAACGGTGGTGTGGTAACCATCTTTCGGTTTTCCCCGAATCGTCAAAGGCTCTCCGAGACAGACGAGTTACAAGTATCGCCTTGTCCTGACAACCGCCTGATTTCTTCGTACTCGATAATGCCTTTGGGCCTATATCAACAGACAAATAACACCTTCGGAAGAATTACAAGGTGTCAAATTTTGCAGACCTTGGATTAGGATCTGAAGACTTTAGTGGGCCTCGGCTAGTGTCTCAGTTTATGCAAATTTTCTGCAGCAAATAAAAGTTGGGAGTTGACATAGACTAAAAGAACCTATGTTTTTTCGCCATCATTGACAAGATAGAGTTATGTCTTACCGATAGTTTGTAACGAAGCGAATTTTCGCGGGCCGGAAACCGTGACGCGTACCGCGAGAGCCGGGGGTAAATTCGTGATCGCCGCGCCGCCGCGGCGGAAGAACAGGACTCTTGCCTGAAACTCCAAGGAGTGCGGAAGTGCTGGGGCGGTTTTCTGAGTGAAAAAGAGTTTTTGGAGAAGTGTGACCAAGTGAGCAGTTCGACCCTCCGACCCACCGTAAGTACCTTTTTGGGTCGCCTGCCTGTTTTGTACCGGTTTTGGAATCGCCGCCCCCGAGCGAGAAACCGTGTCACCGTCACCGCGTTTTTTTGTCACCGTCGAAAGTCGACACCGTCGGGCACGCGTCGTTACTGTCACCGCGCTCCCCTCCCGGGTCGCCGTGCCGTCTTCGCGCGATTTCCAGGTTCAAGGTCGCCGCCCCCAGAGCCCGGAGGAGCCCGTCCTGAGGGAAGTCGCCGCCCAGGAGGAACGACCGTGCCGGACATTTAATTCTTTTTGTTTGTAAAACCGTTTTGTTAGATATTTAAGTTATTTAGCCGTAAGTTTTATTATGTTAGACCGTGTAGGTGGTGGTAGGGAATAAACCCTATTTCTGTTATAACACATCCTCGCCGTTTTATTTCGTATTCTCGCGTTTTCGCGGCGGCTCACCACCTGAATTCCGTATCTCCGGCTTTAGAGCACCCCGGCGCTCCCTCCCCCGGAGAGGGAGCTGGCGCCCGAGCGACCTTCGCTCCTGACCGAAGGCGCCACCCCCGGCGGCGTGAAGGTAGCCGCATAAGCTTGGTCGACCAGACGTGTTACTGACATCAGCGATACTAGTCTACCCAAAGCTTGGCACTCAAGTACGCCGCCACCCCACACGTTATCGGCGAGATTCCGAACCGTCACCGGACCGTCCGTCCCGCCCATCAGGAATTTCGTCGCAAGTTATACCGGATATGGAAGATCATACTGCATCTCTGACGTCTTCAATACGGAGGTTACACTTACCAGATGCGAAGCTATAGCTAAAAAGCAAACACGAATATAAGCGTACCTAATACAATTAATATCTGACGTTGACAAATGTCTTTTGTTGGATTGTAAGCTGACTAACTGAGTAGTATGGGTCAAGTCTTGCACCAGTGTTATTCTGATATCTTTTTTTAACTCAAGACAGTGAACTGAAATAAGAGATAAACGTAATAGTTTTACTTGGCTAGACATACGAACTTCCCTTTGCAAGTACTCCAGTACACCTTGGATAAAGATAGAGATGGTGATGATAGATTTTTCCAATAAATACGACGCAATGGAAAAATATGTTATCCAGAAAAGAGTATATTCTCCTATAAATGTCCATCCATTTCTTTCTGATAGACATAACAATTTTGTTGTCAACAATAATATATCCAAGTAAGCTTTAGGAGAAGGTTTGAAAAATTTCAAAGGTCAATTCACATTTTCTTTTAATAAATCAAAGGTGATTGACGAAAATGGTTTATCGTGTTTCGGAACGGCAAATTGTGGATACGTTGTTTTTCTAAAAGTGGTAGAACGATCTTTCTTTTTTTATTTTGATTAATTGAACAAGGTCTTAGTTGCGTCTCAGAACTAGGGAAATCATCTAAAGAAATGTCTCTGTTTTTACTAAGTCCCTAGTTTCCTCTTTTTACCAATTTTTTTTCTGAACATTTTGTTCGCTAGTGCACTCGCTTCTACTAACAAAAATCTACGAGAAAGTCGATTTAAAGTGCCAACAATTTCACACCGCTTTCATCTGAATTGTTCATACTCCACGGCAGGAAGTCGAGGAATGAGTATTTTGCTCAGCATCATTTGTTTCATTTTCTGGTTCGGTTGTGTAACAACAAGCTTTTCCGCCTAAACTCTCGATGATAACTACTTCGAAGAAACAAAACATTGTGGATATACTAATTTTTCTAGAATAAATGTTACAGTTCATCCACATTTCATCAATTTAAGAAACAATAAAATCACGAACACTGACGATCATGTGTAAAAAAAAGCAGAACAGCTAATTAAATCTGCAACTTGATGTGTCTAGTGGCAAATAAAGTTGGCACTAATATTTACTTGCAGATTTTACTCATTCGGAAAAAAAATCCCACATAAATGAGATAGTTTTATATCTTGTGAAGTCCATTTTTATATTGAAAATGTAGATTTCTTAGTAAATATAACTCATTTATGAATATATTATCTTTTTAAGATACAGACTGACCGCGAAATACATGCAAAAAAAATGGGGAATAGCTCACAATATGATTATGTCACTGGCAAAAATTCACGGTCCTAAGTGGTAGCAGTGTCTAGAAAAAATTATTTGAAATTAAATGTAAATTGTTATACGCGCCGCTGGTAATGTTTCGGGACCTACATAATTACTGCAATGAATGGGCAGGGGACTCGGAGTAAGAACCAAAAAAGTAACTTTATCAGGCACTTTTTTAATCGCAACGTGAAAAACACGAAAAGGGCCAGTCATTATCGAGCGGTCGTTGAAATCAGTGTATGGTCCAGTTTTCCAATGCAGAGTGTGTCGATATGGTAATTTGTGTGCGCGAACATTTGCATCAGTGGTACAGCATCTCCGAGATCATGGTACCTTCAACCTCAAACTCACGATCGTGGTCGTGATGGGACAGAAAGAAGAAATTGGATTTTCGCAGCTTGTAGTGCATCCTACATTAAAAGAACACGGTCACATCCATACCATGTTGACAAAGTGCGCGAACATTGCCAAAAAGTACAAGTACCGAAAGATCATCAATGACATGATGTCGTAGAAGCTCCAGCCACACACTGACAGTTGCACGCCAGTGATCTCGAGAATTATGGACGACCTGAGGGTTTAATTTGTCCTACAATAATTATCACACTGAATAAAATAATTCCATTTGAGTTATTCAGTGATTTTTTGAGTGAGGTGGCGCGAGTAAATCCCTAGCTTCACGGGCCCTAAAGCTGCTCGAAGGGCTTCATCTTGGCCTTCTTGGATACGGCATGGATGTAGTAGAAGATGAGTAGTGTGACGGGGTCGCGCACTACGACCAAGAGTTTCGAGGAGGGATTCATGCGCTGCACCCAGAACCAATAAATGGACCAATTTGTGTATTTGTTCCATTTAATTTGTCCTACAATAATCATCACACTGAATAAGATAGATAATTCAATTTGAGTTGTTCAGTGATTTCTAAGTGAGAATCGAAGAATAATTTCTAAATTCACTTTGACATTTCGATTTTCTATGGCTAATCCAAGAACGCGATCGTCGACTAAG